TATATATATACTATGTGCTCTGTTTACATGTGGATGATCTCTGGAAACAGCTCTATAGCTGTAAACTTACAGCTATTGTTGTGATTTTCAATATGTTGTCAATTAATGCTATTATTACATGTTTTGTTTGCCAAAAATATAAAACTGCAATTTGATGTTGCAATTCATGCTGAATAAGAGTTCAGTTAGTTAGGATTATATGACAGTTAAATTTAGTGTAGCCTTGACTATCTATTTTCAGCTTTAGGTTTTACCCAATTWTAGAATTCTAATTTAAGAAACCTTAGTAAATGCCCTGAAAAGAATCTGACTTCCGCAGTGATATTCAGTTCTTGCTCAGTCAGTGTGATGGGGCGTCACCCTATTTGTCTGTGGATCAGCACCTCAAACTCAGTCTTTACATTAGGACGCAAACTAAATCTCTCCTTTTTTTTAATTTGGCCATTTCAATGCCTCCAGTTTCGTTTACAAAGTAAAACGATGGAGTGAAAGAAATAACAGTGTTCACAGCTTGGCTATGACTTCAGTAACAAGTTTTAACACCCAACTCATGAGACTGTACCAAAACACGTAGCGTTTTTTTTTTATAGGTTTAGTCTAATTCATTATGAAGACGTGATTTTAAATGAGTTTTTTAAGCTGTGTGGATGTTGCAGGTCGCCGGGAGGTGAATTAAAACGTTATAATAGCTTAGCTTATCACGTTTTCTGTGGACTGCAATCTCCTGCGGTGTCCAAAAACCCCGAAAGCATTTAAAAGACGAGCTAAAATTATGATAGCAAACCGTCATTTTCGACATATTTCAGACCCAGGAATGTAAAGTGCATACTCACAGTTAGCAAGCAGATGTTTAATTACCGACGAGGGGGGAAAAAAACGACGTTTTGTCTTCTGCCGTAGACTGAGGAAGAAAGAGAAATCTTTCAATTCCGTGGCCAATCAGAAGAAAACGAAATGTTCCCTTGGCTCAGTCTGTCCCACCCAACTTCAGCAATGTGTCCTTTTTCTCTGTGTGACAGAGTTTAATTTACAGGGGTTGATATGCGCCAAAAGAAATTCCCTAGTCCTGAATATGACGAGCCCGCGTTGAACAATGTGCTTCCAGAGCAGCGGAGATGAGGAGCACAGGCAGCCCACGCCCAGCTCTACAAACCATCGAACCGCCCCGGTTACTGTGTCTCTTACTGATGCGTTCAATTGCCGTCGGAAAAATAGATACCGTGACACGAGATCGCTTGAACACGCAGTCAGATTTGAAAATTTTATATATAATATATATTAAAGGGGAATGCAGGTTTCCAAATCACACACTGAATCTAACAGATAAAGTGCCAACATACATTTAAAACAAGAAACGAATGCTGTCCCTAGGTATACTAAATCTAAATTTGCCTCCATTACAACCTTTTGCAATCACATCCATCAAAATACATTTTTTTTAATATAAAATGTATTTTTCATGATTCAAAGACTCCTGGGTGTCACTTCTTAAAACGTAACATGCACACGTAACTAAGTCATTGGCAGTAATTTTGATTGCTGAATCTATCATTAAAACCTGTAAATACTGAAAAGTTACCGATAAACGTGAACGCCCCACTAGGAATACATATCCCAGTGAGCATTGCCTGCGTATCCAGGAAGTTGACTCGGGTTGTCAAGTAAACTTTTGTTTCTGTTTAGTCGCTCTGTTAATGTGTTTACTGGACCTGTCCCAACAAACGGTRACGAATATTTCTTTAGCATCACTGCTTAGTTTGTAACTATCTTAGAATAAATTTACAATAAATTAGTTTATTTTTATATTGAGCAACATCCGGGGTTGTTAACGTAAATTGTGTACAAATATTGCTAACTTCACGCGAGGAGGTGTTTTGTTTTCTTTATCTGCTTCTTTTTTTAAATTATTTTTTAACAACTTCGGGCTATTTTTCCATAGTAACTGAGACTGTTTATTGTTTAATTCAGACCGCTGTGAGAAATGAATCTCTGTCATGGGGTAGTGGTCCCAGAGGTTCGGCCTGGTAGAGCCCGGGTTCAGGTGACTGAGCTGAGTGGATCAGGATGCATCAACCCATCTCCTAATCCTGCTGAACAGCATGAAGAGCTTGATGCAGAAGTGGAACTTTGTCTTTCTCCCGAAAGACTGGTAGGTTCTATAGTGGATACTTATGTGTACAACATGCTACATCAAGCGTATGCTTGAATAACTTTAACAGCACCTCATATGCTCAAAAGCCTCAACACACAAATGGGTAAAATGCACACAGTCTTCTTTTCTCACTTAGTTTAACAGTCTGCTGGTCAATTTCAATAAGAAGGTTCTCAATCTCATATGCATATTCTATTGTTTGGATCCTTAAAAATAAATTTGACTTCACATCTAAACGTCTTGAAGTTGGCCTATGTCTCTTTAAGAACCTACCATTCGAAACACTCCCACTTCAGCACGTCTTCATACAAAGCTTCGAGGAGGGGTGATCTGTGGCAGACTGAGCATGGGAGGAGCTTTGTACAAATAGGCGGTACTTTGTACTAGCAAGTGTTTACGAAGTTCCACATGGCTACCACAGGAGATCAAGAATTTCTCAAACAGGCATGAATGAGTCAAAGCAATAGGGTATGTTTTGATGAGGGAATGGCATTATAACATGATGTAAAGCAAAAAAAAAAAAGTTGATTTGTCATAATGCTACCCCTTTAAAATTTAAACATATGTTCTCATTATATCTTATTATAAAATTATAGGTTTCATTGTTTTGCTATTATTAGTATTTGCAGGAGTTGCTGTGTGGAAGAGATCTCTCTCACGTCACTTCGCTGGAGGTCCGTGTAGACACCCAAGCAAACATTCTGAGTAACCTTGGTAAGCTGTACCATACATCATTCACTATGTATTCATTGGAGCCATGCTGCTTAGGTACTGAGCCCTTATTTGTTTTCACAAGCACTCATAGTTTGCATGACAAGCAGATAGTTGTACCTACCAGTCCTCGATGAAGGTTGATAGCAGTGGAGAAAGATGCTTACTTTACTCACCTTTGTTCTCTCAAAATCCTAGATTGCGTACTAATTATGAGCGTCATAGCCTGAGTGACAATATTGTCTGAGAATTACATAATCAAACAATTAACCCATTTTAAAATGCCCCATTTTTCTGGTTTTCTTTCAGGTTCTTACTTGCCTAGATTAGTACAGCTTAAAATGAATGACAGCTTGATAATGTCAGTGAGGTAAGTAAAATAACAGCAACAAACAAAAGAAGAAAAAATCAGAACATTTAATTGATTCTCACAAATTTTCTCATTTTCAAGAGGCTACTAAAGATGTAACCAAAAGGGAATCGGCAAAGACTTAAGCACCCTTTAAAAGCATCTATAATTTTATCTTAGAGAAGAGAAAATTCACAAGGAATCAATGTCCTGCTACACATTCTATTTATAAACTTGTAAAAATGGTGTTTTAAGTCAGACAGTGTTTTGAGTAGGATAGAGGTCCTTGGAAGGCATTACTCAAAAATGACAGTAGTTTGCTCTACTTCACCCAAGTTTTTCCAAAAATGCACATGAATGAATAGAAGGTGCATGTTGCAGCTTGTAAACCATTATTCAGTTCAGTTCCATGTTAGCGGTGAGGGAGCTATCGAAAAGAGGGCGTTACAGAGTTAAGAAACAGAATTCCTCTGGAAGTGTCCGACCAGGGGTGTGCAGTAATTACGAATGAGAGGAACTGCACTTGGGGGGAAGGAAAAGGGAGAAGGAGCAAAAAAAAAAAAAAAAAAAAAAAAAAAAAAAAAAAAAACCTCAAACAGCTTATCTCATAAATCACAGCGTTATGTAAGCCTCTGCTGTTTTTCTCGGTCAATTTTCTTCTGTTTTGTTCCTCCAGGGACCTGGGAACCACCCTCTCTCACCTGCAGGTGCTGTGGATGTCTCGCTGCTGCCTACAAGACCTAGACGGCATTTCTACTTTCTCTTCTCTTAAGGTCAACTTTACTAGTGACAAAAGACTCAACGAGGACTCCTCATCAATTTATATTCTGATTTTTTTTTTTTTATGAAATATATTTTCTAAAGTCATAAAATGTAATGCTTAAAATGAAGCCATTGAATGTGATCTCTGTCATTGTTTTCAGGAACTGTACCTGGCCTACAACAATGTGTCAGACCTGAGTCAGATTAGCATGTTGGATAACCTGCAGTTGTTAGATTTGGAAAGAAACAATGTGGATGACCTAGTCCAGGTTCAGTGTCTGAGTTTGTGTCACAAACTCCAAACCCTTACCCTGGAGGGAAACCCTGTGTGTGTCCGCCAAAACCCTACTTCCTCTGAGGTAGGAAAATTATTTTCTAATATCTTTAATAGCATACAAAAAAACATGTTTTGACAACATCTGAAAAAGGAGAATATATTGAAATTCCTACCACAGCCAGCTGATATTTGCAAACACAAAATGGCTTTAACTCTGTCAAGATTACAGATATCTAGCTCAGATTTGGCATGGTAGTAGCAGAGAGTCATCCACAACAGATATTCCACATGCTAAGCCTTTCATTTATTATCTCTGTTTCGGCATGTTCTCTCTGCAGGTTGATCTGTCAGAGTTGAGCAAACCCTTGTTTTGATTTACGCATCTTAAGCACGGCAGTGCTACAGCACGAACTTTTCCCGAGGCGACTACAACCAAATGGTGCAGCGTGCAGAGAAAGAGTAGCCTGGGAAAAGATAAAACCCAAACCTAACGGCTGGAGATGAATAAGTCTTGGGCAAGGAGCTGGGCAGAGTTCCTGAACAGGAAGCGTTTTATCAGCCCGTGTTGGAAAAGCCAACTTGCGAATGTGGCTCCAATCAGTCTCTCTCGTATTCGCAGGCTGTCGGTGTGCTGACACGTAAAAGTGCTTGTGGCGATCTGATCTCACCACACAGGAGACATGAAAGCACCAAACATACCAGCTGCATAACTGAAATGATGAGGTCACATGGTTGCAGATGGCAGTTTTATTCTGATGTTAGGGTGCATATACCCAACCTTAGTGCAAACAACGGTTAATTTGATGCAGTTGTTACTGCAGGATGATACTAAACCTCATTTCTAACAGCTAGCTGTGAGTTTTTGGGCCACTATGAATGTGTTTATTTACACTTATCAGCACAGCATTAATTAGGAAACTAGGGCAATGAGTGGAGATGCTGAGCTGAATATTTATTAGGTCTGTGCTTTGTAGTATCTGTGGAAATCTTGGGTTTGCTCTCTTGCCAAACTAACACTCCTCTTGCGCTCACTTTCCAACACATAAGCACACATCTACTCATTTCCTCTTTGTTAGTCCGCTTTCTCCTTTTCTTTTCTTTTTTTTTAGTTTCCTCCTTGCCAGCCTTTCACTCTCTTTTTTTCATTCACTGCATCTGTGTGATTTGGTGAAGGCGAGGAGTGCCTAGCTCTGATTTGATTGCTCATAGCCAAGTAATTTATTGGAGCAGCTTGGCCGTGTTTGTCTTTGGTTGTGCAACAGATTAGCACACAGCGCAAAACTTTACTAACACTTGATATTAATTTATCAAATGTCAAAACAGAAAAATTCATGTGTGTGAAGATGTGATGCCACTGAACAAAAAAAAAAAAAACAAAAAACAAATTTGGACTTGGACAACAAAAGAGGAAAACAATGTGTAATACTAAGAAGAGCAAATAAAAATCCATCCATCCATCTATCCATCCATCCATCCATCCATCCATCCATCCATCCATCCATCCATCCATATACAGCAGGGTGGGGGACACCCTAGACAGCAAATGAAAATACAAAAAGTAAAATAAACCTGATAAAAGAAAAACATGAATATGGTTGTGCAAACTGTACATTACGGATCATTTAAAATAAACTGAGTCGTTAAGAAATAAATAAGAAGGGAATAAAATCCCAACACAAAACTGTCTGGACAAGTTGTTAACTAACTCACATACCGTTCAACAATATATATTTTTAAATATCAAGATTTGGGGAGGGTGTGCTCCAATTAAAGTGGGGGTCACACTCTTAAGCCTCCCTGGTAAGGTCTATTCAGGGGTCCTGGAGAGGAGGGTGCGTCGGATAGTCGAACCTCGRATTCAGGAAGAGCAGTGTGGTTTTCGTCCTGGTCGTGGAACACTGGACCAGCTCTACACCCTCAGCAGGGTCCTGGAGGGTGCATGGGAGTTCGACCAACTGGTCTACATGTGTTTTGTGGACTTGGAGAAGGTGTTCGACCGTGTCCCAAGGGGGGTCTTGTGGGGGGCTCTCCGGGAGTATGGGGTACCGGGCCCTTTGATACGGGCTGTCAGGTCCTTGTACGACCGGTGTCAGAGTCTGGTTCACATTGCCGGCAGTAAGTCGGGCTCGTTTCCGGTGAGAGTTGGACTCCGCCAAGGCTGCCCTTTGTCACCGATTCTGTTCATTACTTTCATGGACAGAATTTCTAGGTGCAGCCGAGGTGTTGAGGGGATCCGTTTTGGTAGCCTTAGGATCGCATCTCTGCTTTTTGCGGATGATGTGGTTCTGTTGGCTTCATCGGAACAAGATCTGCAGCTCTCGCTGGAGCGGTTCGCGGCCGAGTGCGAAGCGGCCGGGATGAGGCTCAATGCTTCCAAATCTGAGGCCATGGTCTTGAGCCGGAAAAGGGCAGAGTGCCTTCTCCGGGTCAGGGGGGTCGTCCTGCCTCAAGTGGAGGAGTTTAAGTACACTGTAAAAAATGAAATGTTGGATTTACTTAACCATGTTATGTTACCTGGTTCCACTTAACTGAGTTGAGTAAATTCAAAGCAATATACCAGTTTTTTAGCCAAAGAACATGAGTATGTTGCTTTGAGTTTACTCAACTCAGTTAAGTGGAACCAGGTAACATAACATGGTTAAGTTAATCCAACATTTCATTTTTAGAGTGTATCTGGGGATCTTGTTCACGAATGGGGGAAGAACGGAGCGGGAGATCGACAGGTGGATTGGCGCAGCATCTACTGTAAAGCGGGCGCTGTACCGGTCGTGGTGAAGAGAGAGCTGAGTCAGAAAGCGAAGCTCTCGATTTACCGGTCGATCTACGTTCCTACCCTCATCTATGGTCATGAGCTTTGGGTTATGACCGAAAGAACGAGGTCCCGAATACAAGCGGCCGAAATGGGCTTCCTCCGCAGGGTGGCTGGGCTCTCCCTTAGAGATAGGGTGAGAAGCTCGGTCATCCGGGAGGGACTCAGAGTGGAGCCGCTGCTCCACCACGTCGAGAGGAGCCAGTTGAGTTGGCTCGGGCATCTGGTAAGGATGCCTCCTGGACGCCTCCCTGGTGAGGTGTTCCGGGCACGTCCCACCGGGAGGAGGCCCCGAGGAAGACCCAGGACACGCTGGAGGGACTATGTCTCTCGGCTGGCCTGGGAACGCCTTGGGGTTCCCCCGGAGGAGCTGGAAGAAGTGGCTGGAGAGAGGGAGGTCTGGGCCTCCCTTCTGAAGCTGCTGCCCCCGTGACCCGACCCCGGATAGGTGGAAGAAAATGGATGGATGGATGGAATATCAAGATTTCAACATGTGCAGTACATGATTAAAAAATATTAGGCAAGAAGAAATATATATTTAATTCAGGGAAACTAAAATCAAAAATTATTAAACATTCATGATTTTGAGGAATGGTTTTTGCTGAAGTGTTTCTTAAAAACTGAACTACTTTAATTTCACAATGTTCCAACGCTTCATGCAATGATAAAACATGGACAAAATTGAGCTTTAAAATAGTATAATAACTGGAAAAGACTTGGGATCCTTTTATACATTAATTTAGTGATATTTTACCAGCATTTACAAAAGGTGTTAACTACAGAAAATTTTCAAATCACATTTTTCATAAAATATCAGACATTTTAAAACATATTATTTTTGTCCTAAACTGCTGTTATTTTCCATTTATCTGTTTTAGAGGCTTGCTTTGGTCTCTTTTTTCCTTTAATCTGTCTGCTACTGTTGAAGTGTCTCCCCATGTTCTCTGTTTTCTGTCTTTGGTCTAGGTGGATGGCTATAGTTACCGAGCTGCGGTGAGGGAGCTGGTCCCTCAGTTGCGTTACCTAGATAATGTGAACGTCGAGGAGGACGCTCCGGCCTGCCGCCGTGTCACTGGGGAAGACTGGGACATTCTCCAAAACTCTATTAGGAAATGGAACTCTTCTGAGGCTGCTGGTAAATTTAGTTTAGTTTTCATTTTAATCATCTACACAAATCAGTCTTTCTAAACTTTCTTGTCTGAAAGGGCATCTTATTTTTTGTTTTTGTGGAAGAGTCTGCAGTTAGTGTACATCCCTGCAACACACACAGCTCTGCCGGACGCCCTTTTACTGCTTCTGCAGCTATCAGGCCTCTTTCATCTCCAAGCTCCAGACTCACACTGGCAACCGGCCCTGGAGTTTCTACCCCTCCTGGATCCAGACCTGGTTCTTCAGACTCTGATCTAGCAACAGTAGAAGCAGAAACCAGCACCCTAACACATGGTGGAATATTCGACAGATCAATCAGCACATTRCACTTAGTTTTAGTAGCTTTTAAAAAAATGTTAGCATCACAATGCACATATCCAGTAAAAATTTTCAAACACATCACYAGTTCCTGTTAACAGCACCATCAGGAGACATTATTCATGTCCTTAAACACATTAATGCCTTTCATCTGCTTGTCTGTGAAGGTGCTGGCAGGATCCTGTTTTGTGGAAACCCAGTTCAGGCTATCCGAGCAAGGCGAGAACATCTGAAGGTAGGGTGGCAACAAGAATCATGTAATACGATTAAAAAAAATCAAATAATGGTTGCATTTTGCCCAGTAAAATCATCCCAGTTGTTAATTGGAATGATTCATAGTTATATCAATCTATCGCCTCAATGCAGCAAAGCCTTTAGTGTCAGCTGAGAAGAATGATAAGTTTTATTAGTGCTGATGTGCCATRATGGTTGTCTGGCATCAGCAGCTCATCTATTTGCTGTCATGTTGGCYGAAACAAAAGCAGCTAATAAACAGGAGTATAGAAGCAAGGGAAGAAAATCACAAGGAGTTCAGGATATGATAGAGATATGTGAAGGGGCTCTTACTGCAAACGGCTATTTTCGTTTTGTGTTTGCCCTCTGAACTTTCTGATCATTCTGTCCAATTCTGCTGTACTCAACGTTTACAGCAWTAATTTTTCTACTTATTTCTGACAGACAGCACCCACCAGATCCACCTTGACCCCCCGTGACCTGCCGATCCATGTATCAGAACACACGTATGACATTGAGGAGCCTGATCTTGGAGAGCGTGTAAATGTTTTTGCAGAGCTCAGGACCTGGAGGGAACAGCACAGCAGGTACTTATACTGTAGCTCATATTTTTTCTACGCCTTTAGAGGCTACCACATATTTTTTTTTTCTTTGGTTAGAGATAATCTATAAGACATGAATTGCAAAAAACTTGGGTCTTTTTAAATTTTAGAAAGCTGTCATCCAGGCCTTGTCTAAAAYGTATCAGACATAAGAAAAATGTCTTTCTGTATCCCTTTTTTAGGCGTCTTGAGGCTATAGAGAAAGAAAGATCACCACAGATCTTGGCTATCCATCATGGAGGTGAAGATGAGGCAGATGAAGATGAAGAAGAAGGCTTTGCTGGTGTAAGAAGCAACAGCAGTGACGAAGATCAAGGAGAGGAGACACGCTGCGACAGATTAGACRCTGGCTCCCTGGATTCATCTTTTCATTGTCTTTCCCCAGGTGATCTTTCACTCAACACAAGTGATTATAAAGTGTCACATATTAATCTGTGACTCAGTCTGGACAACAATAAATGAGTTCTCTTAACTGATAACACATTTTTCTTGTTGTTGTTAGACCTGAGTCAACGTGAAGCCTTATCCCCCAACGTGGCTCGACTGTCCCTGTCCCCGGACGCCACGCCCTCCCTTTCACCTCCTCACCTTGTCACTTCAGCTCCCACGAGTAAAATGCCGTCTAGGATCCGTGTTCGCAGGCTTCGTCTCCACCAGGCCAGCTCAGAACACTTACCTGATGTCGGCAGACAGACRTGTGTCCCTCAAACAGCTACACCTGCAGCAGAAACAGACCTCTCGTTTGATGGAGTCCAGCACTTGATGAGGACCAATCTGCCTCCAGTGACACCAGTGGCTCAGATACCCCGTCCACCGTTAACAAGGGCCCTGCGTGGAGGACCGGAAAAGTCAGGGTATGGAATTAACTTCAGATACTTTGACATGCTCCCCCCCCCCCCCACACACACACACACACAATTTCAACACAAGGATTTTATTTCATTTTAGTTAGAGTGCCTCAAATGTTTGTGAGAAAATGCAGTTGTGACTAGGCAATGAGTGTAACAAAAGTTTCTTATGTTTCAGGGTAGTTATGGACTTGTCCAGTAGACACAAGACATCCAACATCCTCAGCAGACCAGTGATTTCTCGCCCACACACAGCCAGAGCCGCTCTACAGAAGCATCACCAGCATCACCTTCTCCAGACCCACAGAGGGAGCTCACACYCAGATTAAAGCCAGACTCTGCTTCCATGTTTTCGTTTTCATTTTGCAGTTTGTACACCTTTAATCCTGCATCTTAATCCCTCTTACCCGAGCAGAAGTGAGGATTAGACAGCAGAAATAAAGAGTTGGAAAAGCACACACACACACACACACACACACACACACACACACACACACACANCACACACACACACACACACACACACACACACACACACACACGTACCAAATATGATTGAACAGCAACGTCATCTGTCCACTATTTGATAGCCTTTACTGTTGTATGATATTTATTAACTAAACATTAGCAGTTTTTTTGCTGATGAAGACATTTAATTTTAATTTAATATGCAACATATACTAAAGTGTCACTGATAAATATTATATTCCCACATTAACCACCTGTTAAAGATCTGTCACTTTATCCTTCTGCTCCATCTTTGGATCAAAACATTCTTTTAGTTGGTTTTAGCAGCTAAAAATATGTAAGCGTAGACAAAAAGTCACGCACAGATCAAAGAGAAACTATTCTGAAGTTACTCTTCTGAGTTAATTTTCGAAAATACAACTTATTTTTATAACTACTCTACCACATTTTATTGCGGCGTTTGGAGCAAAATGTAATTGAAAATAAAATGAACTCTTATTTTTATGAAGAGACTGAAACATTGTACTAACATAAAGGACATTAGTGTTTTAAACTATATTGTTAGATAATAAACATATGTAACAATGTAAAAGAACATGCTAAACCAAGCTAATCTCTTTCATATTACTGCAATGTTTCTTTGGATTAAAATAAATTAACGAAACAAAAATCTCAGGTTTGCACTTTTAAAGATGGAAATAGGATTTATGAAGATCAAAAGTTACCTCTGTTTTTACATAGTTCAAAAATGATTACATTGGGTTTATATTAGTTTCACGTTCATTAACGTTAGATTATCTGTCATATAAAGGAATATTTCAAACASGAAGTGCAGGAACTACTATTTTGGTGGCAGATTTCACAGGTGCAATAGTTTCAAATAACCTCTAGAGGGCAATATCTGCAAAAATTGCAAGTAACAGACACAACCCCTCTTTTCTCCAGTGGGACCTTATGTCAAGCATTAGTTTGATATAAAATTATATGTTTTCAAGCTTAAARCATCCAAGTTTTTACCTTGAAAATACTGATACATATTAAGAAATAGAGTGGAACAAATCAGAACTATGGTAGTTTTCTGAGAGCTTTGGTAAGTGAACCATTGACTTTTGTGTTGTGAGGCGCACTGAAAACYCTTACAGAAGTGGGTGGAGGAAGGATTGAGACTCTTTCAATACCGGAATAATTCTTGAGGGCATAGGATGTTGAGACAAGTTCGTTTTGGAGCTGTCACAGGAATCCTAACATGGAATTTCATTTGGACCTGACATGAGCACTCACATGAGACACACGTTGCTCATGCTTCAGCTTTACTGAGTACATCGGTTATTATTTCATCAGTTTCATCAGTTAATATTTCATCAGTTATTATATTGTTGTTATTATTTCAACCCCTGTTGGATTAAGAGGTAGTCTCATGCTTAGAGGAATGTACAGACTGTGCAAACACATGTCAGTAGGTGCTGAACTGGTAAGGAGTGGTTATATAACAACTTTTTTTTGAGGGGGATGGAGGGTTCTTATCAAGTAGTAATGATTTCCATTTACTCACTCCCAAACAGTTACTTTATCTGTGAGATTACTTCACTTTCTTGCTTTCAGTATGGTGCTTTTATGCCTCACTGTGTCACCGTATCTTGGGCACAGACAAAGAACAGAGGCCGGTGATGGTGGGAAAGAAGGATGCTGTCCACCTACTATATCAGAGCAATCTTTGTGAATGAGATAATTCAGGACTGCCTCTGAGAAGCTTTTCTGCACACCCACTTATATAGATAAAGGGAGAAACCAGAAATGTTTTGGATGTTTTTTGACTATTTTTGGGTTGGCGAGCAAAATAAAACACATTTTAACCCATGTCCTCTAATATGTTTCACGTTTAACTAAAGCAAACATTTCACCGTCAAATTTTATTACTTACTTTGAARCATTACTGAGCAAACATACAAAAAYTCCTAACGAGGRTTCCTTCAGTYACGCTGAAAAGAAGATAACACATCAGCTTGTTCTTTACCGCTAAATTAAATACTAAAGGCAGCTAATTCAACTAATTATTTTCCTGTTCAGATATGCTGTTGTACATTCCTCAAAACACTATTAAGCTGCGCCTTCTTAATGTAATTGCAGCAAAGAATGAATGCGAAACAATTACAGGATAACACATTGGAAAACAAACCTTCATAATTACTTTTATTATCTTGTAATAGTCCTATTTTGACTTGTGATGGGGCAAGTTCTTAGKTTTAAAAATATTTAAGAAATACTTGTAGAATAAGTTCAGGCTGGTACAGCACYGCAAGAATCTGCTGGAAGAAACATTCCATTAATGCAAGGTACCTTGTAACTCATTTTTCTTTGACATCTTWACATTTGCAGATATGAACACATTAATGCTAAATAAAGGCTGTAAGCTTACATCTCCAAACGTTATAGTATATTAATTAGATATTTTTTAAAAAGTAAGTTTTTTTCCTTGGGGTCTTTTCAACTAAATCATCTGTATCCTTAAAGAATATGTTATAATTACTGTGCATAATAGATACGTTCTGTAAACTATTTGCTCAGACTCTATAGTTCTCTTTGTTAAACTTTATAGTTCTTTTGTTAAGACTGTACAGTCATTTTGTAAATGATGAAMACCAAACAAAATTTTGTTGTGCTGATAATGTATAGTGACAACAAAAAAATCGATATTTATATATTAGCGATGCAGCTGCCAGGAAAATGACAAAGAGGAAAGGCAAAAAAGGTGACRCAGTTGATGTGGAGGTAGTTGGAGCGAGAACAGAAGAAGCAAAGAGGTGACCCCGAAGAGTCAAAAGAAGGAGAAGAAGTGCATAAAATTTGAAATAAATTGKGATACGTGCATCAGAAACTCTAATTAACAATTATTATTGTAGTGTTGTAAATTCATACACACAAGTCAGGTTGTAAAGTAGTCACATTTAACTATGTCTGTTAAATTTTATTTGGGATAACAAAAAAATGGACAATAAGAAATAAAACTTCCTTTGCAGTAAATAGATGGAAAAAAAAGAATCATCTTACTTTCCAATACCAAGCTGATGTACTGGAACAAATGCACCATTTTTTACACTTATCCAGTTTCAGAGTCATCATGCCTTTCAAGAAACATGAGTGGCAAGAGCAAATGRGGATTATCTTCCCAAAAGGATAAGCCAAACATTCTGTTGGAGTGGAATAGACACTTTTTTTTATTGGAACTACATACTTTCATGCATCAAGTTTGTTTCAYAAGTTGGCAAACTGCACATCAATCTTTGAGCAGACTTTTTAATATAGCTGTCAAGGAAAAATAAGACTCCTTATGAGATTTTATAAGAATTTATTGATCAGGGTAAGGGATTTTAAACGCGTTATTGATTTTTTTCCCCCACCCTTTATTATGTGGTTTGAGTAGTGCTGTCAGGAAAAAAATATGCACAGGAAAAAAAAAATCTGACTCAGTTTTGAACAATACAAGTTTCTGTGCTAGACTTTAATTAGGCAGAAGCAAAAACAACAACAACAACATGCCAAGTATTTAAAAAATGTGTCTCCATATTGCCTGTAGGAATTATCTCAGCTCTGTCACTTACAGTTAAAAACAATTTAATCAAGAAAATCCTAGACGGAGGAATTTAAAGCGCAACYTCACTGGAATGCAGCTGTGTCCCAGTGCAATCTGCTGTCCTGTCATCTCCCAGTAATAAATGGAATGAGATTAAGTTTTCTTTGACAACCTCAAGCCATGTGTTGACACAGGTAATAGTATTATTATAAACCACAACAATCCAATATGTTTCTGTTTGCCATTTTATATATTTTTTTTACAAGAGTGATGATCCTATGATCTTAGTCATGTGTATGGAATTTTGACACAAGTAGCCACAGATTCCAGTATTTCTTTGTGACTGTGCTTATTTTCAGTTTGGAGCTTTATTTTGATAATACTGACCGGAAGTCAAATGAATCTATTTCCTGTTTGTTACAATTGACGCTAAAAAAGTGGACAGGAGGATAAAGCGACACGTTGGTTCGCTGGGTTGAGAAGAAGAGAAGAGAAGAAAAGTTTTTTTTGTAAGGTGAGTTCACTGTAATGTTTTGTACAGGAACAATGTGAAACTGAAGKGTTTTTGAACTTTAGCTTAAAAGGATGCAACAAGTGTGTTGGGAAATGAACGCAGTGCACCTGCGCAACAAGCCGTGAACAAGCTAACTGAGTACGAAACTTTGCTSACTGTCGTCATGCGTTGTTACAGAGTTGTAAATCAGAACGATACACTTGTGTGCCTTTTTTAAAAACCCAATATTAATGCATTAATCATGATTTTTCTTTGTCTGTTCTGCAGTTAACTTAAGTCGAAAACTAAAAAAAAAAATAGGTAAGTTTTGCTAGTCATTTTATTCATGTTAAATTTAAATGCACTATTTGGCTGTGCTTAGGTCAATTCTGAATCTTCAAAAAGTATATTTTGGACAAGTTAACTATTTAAGAAAACACTAYGTAAAATTAAATAAAACGGGTCATTACTTTGAGAATAACAAGAGCATCACTTGTTATCAGTGTGTTTCAGTGTTTTTAGTACAAGCCATATTTTTATTGTCAGTGAAATAAACGTGTTCTACCGTGAGTTTAACTGTCATCTATAGTTTACAGAAAATTTGCTTTGTGTGGGATGAAAAGGTCAGTGAGTGTACAGATTTAGAAACTTGTTTTGCTTCCAGCTAGTGTCAGAACTAGTTATGTAACTGGCTTATTACAGTGTAATGACCAATGACCAGTTTTTTCCCAATTAAATTCTGTCTTAACTATTGCTCAAAACAGCTGTCTGACACTATTAAATTATTGGTTAAATAGCTGCAGATTTTTTTCTTTCA